CGTGCCCGCGTTCTTCTGCGGTAAAATCCACGCCATAGCCGTCGCCAGCCAAAAGGCACCAAAGCTAGTGGAAATCGTACAGCCAAACGTGTTGCCACGAACAAATTCCATGACGCCCGCAATCAGTTGCGTGAGACCGCCGTACATTATGACAACTCCTGCCGTCGTTGTGTTCATCGCGAATAGCTTCGCAGTGGACGTATTAACCAAGAGGGTGGTTGTGCCAAAGGCGAGCAACCCAAGCGCGCCGGGATTACCAAGCTTCTGCCGATAATCATTCGCAACTGCAAGGCTCTCCGGGGTCATCTCCCTGGCCTCATCCCCATTTCTTGTCGGAGTACAATCGTCATACTTCACAGGCCCAGTGATATCAGCCATGTTATCATTCACATTGCCCCGCACGCACATTTCCTCTCTTGTTTGCATCTTTTTAGTGACTGCACGCAGCGGCTGTGAAGTGGGCACAACAGAGAAAAAAAATAGAGAATATTCGCCTGGGCCGCTGGCCGGATCCTGGAATTGTCTAAGAAAAATCAAACAAGACTTTAAAAAAAGGCGTAAGTGGAGAGGCACCAAATTCCCCTCAATGCCTTCTTCCAATATATATATATATATATTCGGATGACCACTCAAGTGGCCTTTTGCACTTTGTTAGGATCAGAAATATTATTGCCTACAAAGTGGCAGACTTTGGGGTGTCTCCCAGCCACAAGACCCCGCCACGAGGAGGCGGGAAAGCAAAAAATAAAAATAATGGGAATAATTTAGTCCTGCCAATGTCGGTTCCCTGTTCCCGCTAAAAACGTGGTCTTCCAAACAGTCATAAAATAGGGGAAAGTGGCGTAAAGAAATGCATTCATTTTATCAGGGAATAATAATAATAATTACGGCGACCAGCTTTCCCCTGCGATCACTCTCCTAACACGCTCCCAAAGTTGGCAACAAAAAACATCGTGCCAAACAGCAACACACACACGCCGGCAATATCTTTAAGATGCTCATCGTACCTCTTCTCGCCATTCCTTTAAAAGGGAGAAATGAAGAAAGGGGCCGCCAGTACCAATAACACATCAAGCTAAAAAAACCACCACACCACCAACCAACACCCTCCCCCATGTGTACTTTGACAGCCAACAATTAGCACGGCAATAAAAGGAGTCGTGAGGCCTCCCCCACCACGAGATTGAAGAAACTCGTCCAATTCGCAATGCTTCCACACAACAAGGGATAATTAAAATGTGTGAACACCGTCGCAAGGAATCAAACTGCACCCAATCGGGGCCAATGATTCGCCGTTGCGAGTGGACAACCTAGCGCTAACTCGCATCACACAAAAGGGGACAAAAACGAGACAAAGTTCGTTGACACAACCGCCACAAGGGCGCCGACAATTTATTATCCATATGCATGTTGCCTTGCTCTCCTTGGTGCTGACTTAAAAAGCGTTATCCGCCCCCCAATTCTTCCACGAGCGGGCCAAAAGCCACCAAAGCGTTGAATTATACTCACAACAGACAGGGGAATCCCGACCGGGCGGTGACGGACCCACAAAATCCCCCC